AACGGGGTGCGAGTGAAGCATGAAGCTGTCTCCCGAACGAGATAGCCGGATGTTACGGAAGCGTTGTGGAACACCTCGCAGGAGAAAAGCCTTCCGTAATTAGAAAAGGAAAGATTTAATGATCGCTAAATTCAATTTGAGCATTCCCTTTCAAAATACATTTAAAAAATCACTTAGCGGATATTTGTCAGACCGAATGACGGCGCGGAGCTCAATGCTCGTGTAGCTCAATAAAAATTCATTAAAAAGTGCGAGACAGCAGGTGACCTTAAAACTTTCCCCGGCTGAGATTGAAAGAGACAGCGGTGAAGTGCAGCAGGCGGACAGACGGATGGAAACCGAGAGCGGAGCGGAACAACAGAATTTGAAGCCCTGAGGTCACTTCCGAGAAAAAAAAAGACTGCAGCCGGAAAGTAAATTAAAGTAAGCGAAATAGAAAGCGGAAAGGGTTGCATGAGGGAAAGGCTGTTTGTGAGAGAACTATTTTTTCATAAAGGAGGCAATGAAAAACAGAGAGGCAGAAGGAGGAAGAGAAGGGAGAGGAGGCGTCGAGGCCAGGAGGCTGTAACAGAGGGAAGGAGGTGCAGCTCCCAACTCCGTGTTAGTTGACCCGGGGAAATGGCCTGCTTCTTTATTACAGACTGAGATCATGCCCTTTATTTCACACCATATATTTTACACCAAAGCATTATAACCTCTATGGACTCACAAAATAACAGAGTCACAAGCACACTCCCACCCAAGGTGAGTAACACTGAAAACAGGACCATTAAAATCAGCAACACACAACTCTGCGCCTCAATCCTCTCTTTAATAATGCCTTGTGCTTCATCCCATTTTTCTTTTTTTTTTTTTTTTTTTTTTTGTGTGTGGATTTATACAGTGTGTGTGTGTGGGTGTGTGTGTGTGTGTGTGTGTGTGTGTGTTTATCCGCAGATCTCTGGGGTTGGCAGACTTTGTCCTTGTCTGTGAAATCACCTCAATCACACTCCAGTGAGCTAATGGGAGCAATCCTACATGCAGGACATCTGAAGACCCACGATGCATTGCTCAAGGTTGGTCATCATCCTTACTTACACACGTGAAGCGCTTGCTGAGATCAAAAGCACCTTTGACAACCACCTATTCACCTTTCCTTCAAATCTTCTCAGTAAAGCTCTGCTTAGACAGTTTCTTTCTTTTCTCACGCCTCCCTACAGTAAAAAAAAAAAAAAACTATTATTACTTTTTCCTTCCTGGGCCCCTGACCCACTGCGTTCACTTTATCATCTTCCCATGTTGGCTTTTAAACCCTGCGGAGAGGTGGCGTACCACCTGAATATCATTTTCTTCGCTTTCCCAATTTGCCATATTACTACTGAAACAACAAAACTCACAGGAGTTTTAATAAATGTGTAGCATACTGAGTAAATGATGTCATTGAGTGAAGAAAGTCCAACATATTATAATGAGCCCCAGATATGACGCCGAGTGTTTGAAGCTCGACGCCCCTTTGTTTATGTCGATTTGGTTGAGACTCTTATTTTGAAATTGGAAAGGAAGTGATTAGTGTTGGCTAATTTTGCAGCTCTTGTGTCGCTAACAAACTTTGTTATAGAAGCGTTGAAGAAGCTTTCACTAAATCATTTGTGTGGCAGCGTTTTAGATAAAAGGTTGGTAAAAACAATATCTGAAAACATCCAATCGGATTAATTATTTAAAAACTTTTATTTTAAGAATCTGCATCCTGTGAGCCAGCCCAAAGGCCCGATGAGTAAAAGCTCTTATACATTTGTTTTAAATTTTAATTAGGTTAAACATCTAGTAGAGCAGTTGTAATGCAAAGAGACCCTGGAAGTTTGTAAACCCAATAAAGACCTAATATGGGGACTGGATTAGAAAAAAATTGACAACTCAAAACTGCACATTATCAGAAAAACCTACATAGAAGCAGCATTCAGCTTCTATGCACCATAAATCTGGAACAAACTTCCAGAAAACTGCCAAGCAGCTGAAACACTGAGTGCCTTTAAATCTAGATAAGACTTCACCTGATTAAAGTTGCCTTTGAAACATAATCAATGAAACATTAATCAACAATCTGATGCATAATGTTGTTGACTTCTATGTTCTATAACTTTATTTTTGTGTTTTTATGACGTAAAGCACTTTGAAATGCCTTGTTGCTGAAATTTGCTACACGAATAAAATTTGATTTGATGATTTTCTCACACATAGATGTTTAATATCAAACTTAATTCAATATTAATACTAAAAATGATGAAAAAAAATATTCCAAACTGATGACAATAAATTACCTATAAATTGCAGCAAATAAAATCAAACAAAATAGAAAATAAACAGATAAAAAAAAAAGTTGTGTTTTATAACTCCTGTTTAAAGTGGTTAGAGTTTCATCAGGGTTAATGATGAGAACATAATTACTGTATTTTGACAGCTTTGCTTTGTTTAAATCTCCAACACTGAGCTTGTGGGCTCAGTGTTGGACTCAACACTCCTGACTCCTGACTCAAACTGAGCGTAAACTCCACGGTCCGTCTGCGGATCTGAGACGATACGAGAAGGAATTTGAAAATGCCTCAAAAGAATCTGAAATCAGTCGACCGTACGGAGAACAGTCCACAAGGGGAGAAAACTCAAATCACACTGCATGTCAGGTCATTTTGGACAAGCTCACACTAAAAGCAGACCGCAAGATGCTAACGTAAGTCTGCAAATACACAAAAACATCATCACACAAGATGTTCTTGCAGCTGTTGTTAAGAAGCTGTTTGTCTGTACAATCAGGAGTCTTCAGCCGAAGGAGAGCTGCAGGTAGAAAACATTTTCTCTTTAGAAAACCCATGAAGAGACAACAGGCAAATATCCAGACTTTTGGAATAACACTTTCTGAGTATTCATTACTGACTGAAAATGAAACGCAATCGTTTTTATTTTCAAACACAAAACGCTAAGCCTGAAACTGTGAGTGATGTAAGCCCAAAACTGGCTTACATCACTTCGCTTTCCATGCAAAAGTTGTGATCGGAGTGTGCGGTTTCCCACCTGTATGTGGAGACAGGGGAAACTTGCGGAGCAGATGGCAAGGTGGGGAACTGAAGCCACACAGCGTCGTCATTTCTCTCAAACATCTAATTTCACTCCATATGAAACTTTAATAATAGATCAACTTTACCACAAGTATCCAAGCAGCAGTGTTATTTGTGCTTCCACTGTTGAGCCATAACAATGCATGAGAACCAATCTTAAATCGAAATCCACACAAACATTTCATCAAAGTTTTTTTCCTTCTGTGATGTCCAGGGTGTTGGGTACCACATATTAACACAAAATTCGACAAGGTGTGAGGCAATCAGACTGATTTCTGTTAACACGTAAAGTCAGCACGTGTTGGTGCTCGTACGAGGCTCGCTTCAATATTGTTCACACCTGTACCCGTATCCATCATCTGTCGCCTTCACCCAGCAAGATAATGCTTCAGGTCACAAAAAGCTTAAACACGACCGGGTTTTTTGTGGTGGTGTCCTCAGTCAAACAGAGCTCCTTCAGGAAGTGGTGGAACAGGAGATTCATGTCAGCCGACAAGTCCGGAGCGCCGTGGGAAAGTGTGCGATGCCATCATGTAAGAAAGAACCAGAATCTCTGGGAAATGTTTCCGACACCTTGTTGAAGCTACACCAGTGAGAATTAAGATGGTTCAAAAGGTAAGGAGGTACCATCACCAACTAGTAAAATGTACCTTACAAAATGACTGGTGAAAGTATAATTACATATTGGTCTCTATAAAGAATGTAACAAGTTGTAAGACAAATGACATTTATGAAAACCTCTGCAGCAAAATATGTATGGAGAGTTGAAAGAATAGGGAGGTTTCAGCTCTGACGAGTCGTTTAGTCAGCGAAGGGAAGCTTGCTTTGCAGACAGGAAGAGAACGCTGTGAACAAAGATAAAGTCAGAAACCCAAACAAGTTAATGATGAGCTGCAAAAAAAACCCCCATCATTACAGGTTCGTTTATTCTGAACCTTTAAATTTCCTGGGGGTTTTGGGTGATTTGCGGGGAACGAAAACAATCGGTATTCCTTTTCCTGATACTTTTTGCTAAAACTGATGGACCTCTAAAATATGACAACCAGCTCCTTTCTCATCCTTTGCTTTCATTGCTGAAGAGGCAGAGAGGAAACTAGACGGGCCTGGTGTCCAAAGGGGAAAGATTCGGGTGTAGGTAATTGCTTACAAAGATAATGCAACAGGAGATAGGATCAGAGGGGAGGTGACAGTCTGTAATTGGAAATGGTGAAAGAAAGAAGACTGTGAAAAAGGATTGGCGAAGGAGAGGAAATGGGACTCAGTGCAATGCCGAAACAACCCATGCAGCCTTCTTGGCGTTACAGGCCAGTAGGTAGGCGGTCACTAAACGCTATAGGTCACGTTAGGCAGGGTTGTTCGTGTCATGTTCCCCCTTGTGGCGTCCCACAGGGCAGAATGTAAGCCCCGGCTTTCGTCAGTTTTCTATTCGCCACGGCCCAAAGCTGCACACTGTGTGCCCAACACCATAACTCAGGCACAAAGTTAATGAGACAGAAAAAGATCTCAGCCCAGAGACATGAAACCCAACAACATTCCACCAGTGGAGGCTTATTTACATGCATCACTCAAAATCGGTTGAAAAATTCACCCTGGTTGCAAAACTAAGCATTTAGAAAAAAAAAAAGGAAAGCATGACCATGAATGGACACACACACACACACACACACACACGCACGCACGCAACCCCTCAGCCTCATCATCTTCTTTCCTTTGCTTTGCTGCGAGGACGAGTAAGGAAGTCTTGTCAGTGCTGGTAGTCGTCAGCGTAGAAGATCAGCAAACACGCAGTTTTGTTTCAAGTGTGCCTGAGCTCTATTGGTGAAAATACTCCAATAGACGAGGGTTAAATATTCATGCCCAACTGTGTGCGAGTGTGTGCCTGCATGTGTGTGTGTGTGTGAGTAAACGTACCCAGGACGGAAGCGTGGTCCCTGATGCCTCCTCATCCGTCCAGCTGTGTGTGTATGCAGATCTGATTTCCTCTCCTCTTGGCCCACAAGTGGCCGTGGCCGCTCGGGAGGCTCGCCGGTGTGATCTTCTGATCTCTCCCCTCAGTCGGTCTCACTCCTCGGCGCTCCAAACATGCCTCTGACTCTCCTCTTCTTCCCAGCTCTGCTTCCTGCCCTCCCTCCTGCCGACAGGCTTATGTGTGCACACTTCACACCTCCTTCTCACTCCTTGTTGCTTATCGTGACCCCGGTAAAAAAAAAACAAAAAAAACAAATGAAAGCCCGTTGCGTTAAGCAGGCAAACGTGAGACCCTCCTCTCCTTCGGCCAGTTGCTGTTCAGCAGGTCAGGGATCCATCCGTCTCCCAACGACGTGGATGTGGAATCAAGGGAAAGGAGAGGAAGGATGGGGAAGGAGAGAGCTGTTGCTGTAGCTGTTGCCTCTGCCTCCTTCTGTATGAGCGCCTCTCTCTCGCTTAGCATTCTTTTCATCTCTCTCTCTCTCTGCTCACTCACTCTTTACCTTGCACCACCCCCTCTCTTGTTCCCTCAGTCACTGTCTATCTGCTCCCGCTCTGGATGCTGTTGACCGCGTGTTGGAGCGAGTCTCTCTTACGGGAAAAGAAATCAAGAAAACAGGAGCAAGGAGACAGAAAATTTAAAACATGTAAAATAAATAAATAAATAAAATAAACAAAGAAAACTTCTTGACTATGAAAAATAATAAAAACATACATATAAATGATTTACATTAAAACATTTAGACAGTGCCATAGAAATGATTTTATGTCCCTGAAACTTTTGCTAATTTTAGCCATGCATTTTAATGCATTTTATTAAGATTTTATGCGATAAACTAACACAAAGCAGAAGATAATTGTGAAATGGACCTTTGAGCTTAGAACTCGTTTACATACCCTTAAATAAGTGTTGTGTTCCACCCTTCCTGGATCACTGATTTGCAAAATCACCTTTTCCTGTGGCAAGTCTTCTGGGAACAGCCAAGCCCAAAATTATTCATACTCCTTGCAGATAAGGATAGAATGTTTTTTTTATTTATTTTTTATTAAACCTAGATATTTGCTTCTGATTGAAAACCACACAGATATTTTAAGGAAAAGGAGAAATGTTTCCTTGAAAATATCGGTAAAAGTAAAAGATTTCAAAAGCCGCTCTTACGATTTTTAAACAGCATATTTGTAGTTTTAAGATTTATCTTTGGCAAGGAGCTTCATGACTGTGAGGTTGGAAGGCCTTCTTACCATCACCCTAATCTCTGGCTCCCCCTACAGATTTTTATTTTTTTTTTAATCAAATTCAGGTCAGACCTCTAAAACAATAATATTCCCACTATGCTTCCAGTCAGAAGAAAGAAGATGGGGAAAAAAAATGAAATTATATATTTAAACTTAAATCTGACATAGAGTATGAATAATTTTGGCCTCATCTGTGTAGAAATTGTTTAATTTATATATATATATATTTTAACAGAGGGATCAAAACACTAGAAAAAGGCTGTTTTGCATTTTTATATTTATTAAAGAGAAAGAGAGGAAATGCTCCAAATGAAAGTCAATAGGACATTAAGTTAAAGGTTTCTCTTTGAAAAGAGAATATTCCAGCTTTCTCATCTGCAATAGATTGAAAGAATTGCAAATAGGCTGAAGTACTTTCTCTGTCTATCAGAAAATAAAGTGCTTCAGTCAATAAATTGATTGTAGTTGGCACAGCGCTTTGCCAAAGGGCTTCATTATGCAAGGAAAATCATGATTTATGCAGACTATAAATCCCAGACTGTTTTTCCGCCAGTGAGAGGAACTAAAACAAAACAACAACAACAAAAAACAACAATTGCACTATGCAATATTCTGTTAAGCAAAAACAGCAATTTGTGAAAATAATATTCTGGCCTCGGATTTATTGTCACATCATTCCAAGAAGCAATCATGCTCCTGCAGAGAAGGCGACGTATCTTAATGTGGGAAAAACTGTCTTTAGGATGGTTTATATGGTTTTAGGCTTGATCAAAAATGATTTAACTGTGCTGTACACCTCGTGATTCAGTACTTGCTTTCAACATGACCTTTCCGTTCTCTCACAGCATTGTGGGAAAATGTTGACCCGGCCTTTGTTACATTATTGGAGGTCAGTGAAGTTTGTGGGTTTGTGTGGCTCTTTTCAGTACTCAGCGCAGCGTTTCAGTCAGTTCAGCGTTCGGACTGCGACTCTTGATTCATTTTCCTTTGGAGCATTCTGCTGTAGATTTACAATAGTCTTTTGATCTTTACATTTTCTACGAGCTTTCATCCAGGTGGCCTCAGACTGTACTTTGGTATACAAACAGGTACAGTATGTTGTCAAGTTTACATCAGATAAACTCCAAAGTGTTTTTTTTTATTCTTAATTATGGATACACTCTTATTTAATAATAAAAATAAATAAAAAACATCCAGGCATCGCCTATGCGTGCTTATAATACGTTATTGACTGGAAAAAAATCCAATCAATCCAGTCAGTTCCATACTTTCAATTTCTTTAAGTTTTTGAACATAATAAAATCAGATACATTTCAGTTATTGATATGATAATATCATTTACTGAACTGATATAATTCAGTAATTGGAATTGATCAATTACTGAATTATTATTTTTATGTTTTATATAAATAATTATAGCAATTCATACCCATTTTTTATTAGTTTTTCTAATTAAAGCATAATTGAAACATGCCGAAACTTCTCTGTACAATTATAACCCTACTGTTTAGGTGTAACAATTTATCCTGAGCTTAATTTTAATACTCAATTTCATTGGATGCATTTGAAGGTTGTATGAAGTTCAAAATATTGTCTAAATATTTATAGTATGACAGAGGGCTTCACTTAAACATTATTTATTATATGAAGAGATAAAGAAATATCAACTTCTTTTTCCCAGCAGAAGGAAAGTGTATTTTTTGCAGCCATCTTTTGCTGTGGCAGTTTGAAGCTTTGCAGCTCACAAAAAGACGTCCAAATCAATCTAAGCAGCGTTTGGTAATTAATCCAATCTGCACAATCTGGTTGTTACTTGTTAATCATTTCCTTTAAGTTTCCTGTTGAGCTCAATTTAAAAATGGGAAATTGACCAAAAGTTGTGGCTTAAAAAAAAAAAAAATTATATATATATATATATATATATATATATATATATAAAATTTTATTAATTTATTTATTTATTTGTCTAGTTTTGTACAATCAACTTGCCAGTCCCTGAAGATAGAAATGAGTCTTCAGGTCAAATCTGGTGCATTTGCACAATGGACTAATTCACTCATGTTGACAAATAATGAACTGTAAGTAATACAGAGAGAAGCCCAGACCATAATGCTTGAGTATGGATTGGAAAATGTTTGTACTCGACCTCTTTACCTAGAAGAAGATGTTTGTTAAAGTTTTCAGGTCATTACCACAATGACCACATGAATTTGTAAAAAAAAAAAAAAAAAAAAAAAAAAAAAAAGATAAAAAATCTCCCCTTTTTTTTCTTTTTAAAAATTTTTTTTTCTCGCGGGGTTTTCTAGGGC